AGGATGTGCCTTGTTGGTTGAATCTATCTTTATACCGACGATTTAGATGGGGATTGCCCAACGAATAAGGAGATTTTTTCCTCTGATGAGTCAAAAACGTGAAATGAAAGGACAAGAGGCAAGCACCAATTCATGCTCATGGAGAGTGAAGAATGAAGATTTCTACCAATATGGGGCCCACTAGGCTCAAGACTTTAGGTCAAGGCTAAGAAAAAAAAAAAAAGAGTGTCGTGAACCAAAACACATCTTAGATTTACCACCGGGCCCAATGCTGCAATGAAAAGGAAAGCATTATTGTTATATGTTCCCAAGTCTTATTGCAGAAAGCCAGTCTTTTCCTTTATTTTAAAAGGCCCAAGGAAAGAGGAGTGGAGTTCCGTGGCCTTTGTGATGTTCTGCTAGTTTATGAGGATGGGCTAGTTTTCCTTAGCGAGTTCTCTCCTTAGTTCTGCTCTAGTGAAGCTGATGCGAGTCGCTAAGGCTTCCACAGAAAGAGACTTATCGCAAAAGGAAAGACGAATATATACCAATCACAACCTCGTCAAGGTTTCTAATCGGGGGCTCCCATCACGTTAGCCAAATAAGAGGAGTGGATGTTCTGTTAATATAGTCTCATATTAGGCTTTCCCGTTCTCTTTGCTTCTAAAGAGCATATTTTGATGGGAAAGATTTGGCCTTCATGACCCTGACCTGACCACCACCAAGGCAGGTCTGGCCGTGCCATTGAAATGAAGAAAGTTAGGTCGGATGACATTAGTGCTTCTCTCCGAATGAAAACCAATCGAAAAAAAGTTATGTTTGAAGGCCGTCATAAGGAAAGGAAATGCGAATCTGGCATCAACAAAGGCTGCTTATCCCTGTCTTTCACTATTCTCGGAGGCGATATTTATCTCCTATCTATTCATTCCCGGGCATTCTTCTATATGTCACCCTTAAAGTAAGGGAGGGACCCCTTCATCCGATCTAGCTAGCAGAAAAATTTCTCGATTGGGAAGCTAGGAGATATGCACGCTATCTGATGGATAGAATTACACCAGGCTTTCGTCGGGTCATAGATATGCCCAGCATAGCACTATTGACTTAGAAAATGTTTGAAGTGATCCGAGGGACGGGATAACTCTCTCTCCTGCGCTAGTTAATCATTATGCCAATCCCGAGTCGCTCCAATCATGAGAGGTGGGATTGGTCATCTTCTAGCTCCTCTGCTTCCGGTGGTGGGACAACCATTGGATGCGAACAAAGGCCTAGGTAATGTCTCTCCAACTACTCTACCCCGGTCACTGGGTACTCACAATAATCCGGCCGGTGTTCTTTAACTGAAACCAGAATCAGATTCTTGGGCGAGTGTGGTAGGGGAAGGCTTATGATTACTAGTATCGAAACCATAAGGGCGTTTACCGCTGGGACTGAAGCTTTTGATACTCGTGCCTAAACGCAGCCTTTGTTCGGCCATTCATCTCTCATCCGATTCCCCTATGGAAAGAAAGAAAGAAACATTCATTGGTTGGACCTTTATGCTACCAGCCTCTGCTATTAAAACTCTTTCTATACTATACGAGCTTGTAGGATCCATTAGTCTCACCACCAAAAGGCATACTAGAAGCAGTATTCTCACCCGGTGCTTGGCTCGCTTACAGCTAACTATCATGCCTTAAAGAACCCTCTGTCTAGACCACCAAACTTCAACGAAATTAGTTGCCAATCAATGTATTCACCGCCTTTAATTTAAGGAAAGCCTAGAAGTGCCAAGAGGTGTCTTTTTAGCCCTAATACAAATTTGCTTGTAGACTGTTTTTTGACTTTTGTTGAGGATGACGAAGCTAGCTCCAGGTATCCCGTCCCTCCCTTCTCTTTAGCTTAGCTTCTATTTAAGGTTAAGAGCTAGCATGTTTTTAGATCCAGTGCCGGGCGGCATTGAAAGAAGTAGTTCCCTTATCGGACTTCAGAAAGGACCGAAAGGTTGGACTACGTCAGGATTGGCGATTACTCTTTTTTCTCAGGCCGCTAAAGCAAAAGAAGGATCTCTATCTCTTGAATCCATTGGATGCTTGAAAGTTGAGGTAAGCAGGATCCGGATTCCCATTGAGAAGGGTTGGAGCCTAGCGCTTTCCTTTAGCCGCCCTTTTGTGTCTCCGAGTCTCCCCAAATAAAACTATTGAAAGACTCCTCTCTACTTTCACAGGGTCCCTGTCGGAAGTTTAGCCGATTGACATCATATATGTTGGCAACGCCATAAATCACCGATTTCCATAGCCCATAGCAATAAGAGAGTTGATCAACCTCCATCCTGCTAGTCTCCTTTTGCTTTCTATTTCATTGAAGTAACCCCAGCTAGCATCCAGGGAACCGAGATTTCGTGGACATCTGAATAAGTGCTGCCAGAAAGCCCGGCTTATTTTTTTCAGAAGTTTCGGCATATAGAGCAGTAAAGAACCATGAGGCTAGTCTTCTCCTGAACCACCTTCATATGAACGAAGTCATCCTGAAGGACATCCCTCGTCTATCTTTGCTATTCCACAGCGGACCCAAATCCGCGCCAGAATCCACCTTGAAGGTTCTACTCCGATGCGATGACGGAAACCCAGTCCTCTAAAACTACTTTTTCGGCCTTTTTCACCACTCACCCATGCTTTCAAAAGCCAACAACTCTCTTTGAGGTGAAAGCAAGTTCCATTATTACCACATGTATGTTTTGAATGAATGATTTATGGTAGGTTTTTTCTTTTCATATGCTGTTTTTCCAACGTTTTTTTATTGGCTGGAGTCATTTGGGTTTCGTGCTAGAGATTGTAGCGTGATCAGAGTCGAAGGAAGAAAGGAAACAAGCCTTTACCAGCTAACCCCCTAATTTCCTTACTATACTCTTTTCATAAACTAGTGTTAATCCATCTTTTTCCTATTATTAGCTAGAGGAAGCGTTGCTGACGAAAGGGAACCTGCTCTTTCTTACTGTAGGAGTCAAGCCTATGAGCACCATCTATCCTAGCCTTGTAAAGTTAATGGACTGGTTTTATAATCATTTCAGTCCCACGGGATTAGAGTTAAAGTTGGAGGGTTTTGAAAAATAAGCTAACCTACCTTATCTCCCAGATAGAGCTAAAGGAAGGATCAATAGTAGAAGAATAAGGCATCGAATGCTGCTATTGAATGCGCTCTTACGGGTTTGAGAATTAAACTTGCTATTGAATTTGGCTAGTGGATAGGGAAAGAAAGCAAAAGGGCAGACAGCTTAGAAGCCATTAGCAAAAAGAAGTTCCGGCTGGAAAAGGAGCGAAAAGCCACTTAACCGAACCGACAGGTTCGGAGCGATAGCCTATGACTTATGAGCTTTTTACTATTCCTAATCTCAGTTCCTAGGACTGGCCATGACCGATTGTAAGATTCTTTCTGTTCCCAAAGCACTCAAAACGAGATGAAAAAGAACGCTTCTTGGCCCAAGAGGTGCTGAAAAGAAGATGACACTATTCAGGGATTCCGAAGGAGGAGACAGGGATGGCCAGGCGGCAGAGGGTCAAGCAGTTGGGCCAAGCGAAACAACAAACATCACATGAATCTCTTTGTGGATCACTTTACCTGTTTTCGCATAAACCAAAGAAGAGCATTGTCTCAATGAGCATTCAATAAAAGTGTTAAACAAGGCTCTTGCGCACACATCCCGATATCGGTTGCTGACACACACGGCTAGTACGAAATGTGTAATGACAACGAGAAGACTAAAGCGAGATTGCAGGCGAGTTGGTTAACGCGGATCCCAATTCATCATAGTAAATCCGCCTGTGATCGGTTCGCAGAGAAGAGCCTTGAATTCTCATTGCTATCGCTTTTTTTAAAAGACGCAAGCCCCTAAAGAAGTCAAAGTGTTTCTTCCCCTCACGGAGCCAAGTTCCAGCTCGCACCGACCTCCGTTCGGGCTGGTCGTTTGTTTTAGACCGGATCATTGGAGTAGTCCACTTTACCCTTCCGGTAGAGTGTCTTATCTTTAAGGCAAACGTAACGGCTTGTGAGTGAGCCTCATGGTAAAGCCGAGGAACCGAGATTGCGTACCAACCCATTTAGCCAGGGAAAGTTCATTCATCACCGGACCGTAGTTCTTGTCGATTTGCACTCGGGAGCTGTGCCTGCCTTTTAGCTTAGAATCTCATTCAGCTATTAGCTCCCATAGTTTGTAAGTTCCGTTCCGAGTAAGCTCAGATGGGCAAAGGAAGGCAGCGGAGTAGCACTTAGTCTCAGGCGGCATGCCCTGAAGAGGTTCTTACGTAACGCGAGGAAAACTTGGGAAGACTTTCTTTCGGGTCTACGGTAATACCCGTTTTGAAGCAGCCCTCTGTTCGGGCGGGAAAATGAAGAAATTCCGTCTAGGTAGTAGTATACTCCTTCTATCTCAGTGTTCAGGTTGTTTGAGGAACAAACACGAGAAAGAGCTCCGCCATTTCCTCTGGTCTTTTTCCTATCTTCTCTTTCAATTACCGAGACCCATTACATACAAAGATCTAGGTAGCTTATCTCCTTCTAAGGAAGGAAAGATCTCCTTCCCATTGCCGTCTCCCAAGCCTTTCTAAACCTCTTTTTCTTAAGAGAGGCTTCCAGCTGTTTTCAGCCAAAAAGAAAATATCGTAAGATAAGATTAGAACTTTTAACGCCCAAGAACTCCATCGCTTTCCCTTGGTCAACAACCAACACAGAAAAACGTTAGTTCTTTCACTACTCCTACAGGCTTCACGGAGTGAATCTGTCTGGAGAGAATTCACTTTTTTGTCATCCAAAAATAATGGAAAATCAAAACATTCTATTCATAGGCCCTCGATTGATCGGGCAAGAGTTATAATGACTTATGTGATCAAGTATCCTAGGAACATGGATGCACTGGTCTTCCATTTTGCCAGCAGCCACTGGACGTCGGGTAAGAGAGCTTGCCGAACATGCTCTGGGCATGATTAATGATGCTCAACAAGAAATAAATTGATCATATAATTCGGTTCTAACAAATGAACTCGCCGTGAGGACTTTCAAGATGGTTTTATTATGCAGGGAATTTGTTAATGAGTTCAAATTGATTGCCCCAAGCCCCCTGGATCAATTTGAGATAATCCCATTTCTTCCTTATGAAGAAAGGTGCTTTGTATTTTCTCATTCACAAATCCATCTTTCTTTATGCTGCTCACTCTCCATTTTGGTCTTACTTCTTATTTATTTTGTTACTAAAAAGGGAGGAGGAAAGTCAAGTACCCAATGCTTGGCAATCCTTGGTAGAGCTTATTTAGATTTCGTGCGAAACCTGGTAAACCGAACAAATAGGTGGTCCTTCCGGAAATGTTTAAACAAAAGTTTTTCCCTTGCATCTCGGTCACTTTTACTTTTTTTCGTTATTTTTGTAACCCCCAGGGTATGATACCTTATAGGCTTTCACAGTTTACAAGTCATTTTCTTCATTACCTTTTTGGGGATCTCATTTTCTCTTTTTCATTGGCATACCTATAGTGGGATTTGCAAAAAATGGGCTTCATTTTTTAAGGTTCTCATTACCCGCAGGAGTCACCACTGCCGTAGCACCCTTTTTAGTACTCCTTGAAGCTAATCCACTCATTGTTTTCGCGCATTAAGCTTCAGGGAATACGTTATTTGTAATATGGATGGCCGGTCAATAGTTTCAGTAAAGATTTAAATGGGTTCGCTCTGACACTATTGCTATGTATGAATGATCTTTTCTATTTCATAGGGGATCCTGGTCCTTTATTTATAGTATCTTGCATTAACCGGTCTGGAATTAGTGTGGGCTATAACAAGCTTCATGTTTCTACCGATTACTCAATCTGTATTTACTTTGAATGATGCTATTAAATTTCTCCATCAAAAGTGCTTATTTTTTTTTATTAATTGAACAAAAAGCGAGGAGCGAAGCATGCTACCGAGTTTACGAGTGAAGGAGCGTCCCGGATCGAATCAAAAACAAAAAATAGTTGCCACGCATTACATGAAGCTCTTCCTACTGTTCTTATTCTTTCTTAAGTAAGGCGGCTAACCTAGATTAGATGTTCGGCCTTTTTTGATAAGAAGGGGGAAGGCCTTTTCTTGTATCATAGGGCAGTTCTTGGCTTGGCCGTTTAGTTAGACGGCGAGCGAGCTGACGATACAGAGCATGAATGAGCGAGCCTGCCTGCCGAAGTGAATTAAACCGCTGGCGAATGCTTGCGAGTAAATATTATGTGAACGAGACGAGTGAGTGAGTCTTACGAGTTTTACCCAACCATTTCTGACTGAAAAAACAAACCTTTATCTTTTATCTTTTCCAGGCGGCCCGATTCCGCCAAGCGGGTGATACGCGAGCGAGATGTCAGTGAACCAACCAAGTCAATCCCTTTCCGCTTTGCACTCTGGTTTCTTTTTTCCTTTTTAGCCCCTTCCAAAGCCCCATGGTTTTTTTTTCTAACTTAACTAGAAAGGCGATGAGCGGCAGATTGACTGAATGTAAAAGCCTACTAATACTCTGGGTCCTGGCGAGAACTCTTACCATCTCTTAACTGACCCAACCTCTGACCTTATTTCTTGATATCCTAAGAAGAATTGCTGTTTTCATTTTCGGGGAAAAAAAGCAATGAAAGGAAAGAGAGGAGCTCATTAAGTCGGTTGTTCTTGGCCTTGGAGGATCGGATAAAAGTTTGGGGGAATAAGGGTCCACAGTTCAAGGAGATCCGGAATTCTCTTGAGTTGCCTGGAAAGGCAAGCGAAGTGCTTCGATGGGGTGAGGAAGCACCGAGCGATTGAAAGAGTAGTGATTGGAAAGCTTGGAAACTTTTCTTTTAGGTCACCCCATACAACGGTAAGAAGCATAGCTTCAGTTCCCAAAGCAGCAAGAACCGTGACTGGGAAACCCAATGGCTTTGAGGTGGCTTACGTAGCCTTTCAACGAAGCCCCTGCCCCTCCCCCGTATCTTCTAGTGAATGCCATTCCTATTTTGTCCCTGACTTCCACCCCACTTAACCTGAAGGAAGGTCCTAATTGAACTCGGCTTGGTTTTATGTCAGAATAGAGGTATGTCCAAATGCGGCTAGAAGGGAAATTTTTTTTAATAGAGTGAGCTCCTCCCCTAATCAGTTTGTTCGGTGCTTTCCCTAGCTCGATTTGAGAAGAATGCGAAGACCTAATCTTCATCTGAAGGTAGCTACCTTTTACCGATCGGAGTTCCTGCGCTGGAAGTTCTATTGCTTGGAAGACAGAACGGGCTGACTATGCTTGTTTAGCTTGCCTTTCTAAATTCACATGCTCGTCAGTTCTTTCAATTGTGCTGCTTGCTACCTTCCCCTCACCCTAAAGATACCTCTGCCGCATTTAGCTTTTGAGCCGGGGAACTCCCTCTTTCTCTTTCTTAGTGCTTGGGACTTTCCTCCGGCAAGCAGTTGTAAACTCTTGCCTTGAAAACGTTCTTCCAAAGGCCTAAGTCACCCCTAGTAGGGGAATTAGTAACTTCCTTAGGCTTAGGAGCTGCTAGGGCCCTAAATCGAATGAGTGGCTACACGCTCCTTTCCCGAGGAGAGAATCTTTAATTCAACAGAAAATAGGCCTCAAACTCGGCTCCTAGCTGTCAATAGCGGCAGTGATTTCTTATAGATTATCGTTAGATTAAAGTAAGGGCTGTTTCAGCTCCTCTTTATCGGAAAAATTCTGGCAACAGGACTAATCTCGCTAAGTCCGCTTGCTTCACCTCTTGGACAGCTGCTAACCCCGTACGTACTACTGTTCAACTAAGCTCCTTCTTCGTCCTTCCCCTGAAGCCGGAGGCTCAAGAATCCGGTCTATTCAACAAAACATCCCTCTTGGGCAACTTCTTTTTCATATTAAATTGAAATGAAAATAAAAGGAAAATCACCTCACAATAAGAGCAAGTTTTTCTTCATAATTCACCATATACAATACACAAAAAATCGTATAAAGTATGAAAATATCAAGAACGGACTCTATTACAATACAGTTCTTTTACTTTTAATAGATTAAGGTCTTGAAGAGCCTTGTCAGCATCTAATAAGACCTACAGTCGTACGAGGACTTCTTAATCAGAAAAGCCAATCTTAGCTATAAGTTCCCCACGAGACTCTATGCACGTTGGTAGTCTAATACACACATACCTCCTTCGCTCCCGCCCCCCCCCCTCCTCTCCCTCCTCTCCCCCCCCC